AGGACTCCGTACCTTAACGGGGTGGAGAAGTGTAATCTGCTGCTTCTGTAAGGATCTGTCCACTGGAGACCCTCTTGCCCACCTTGAAACTGAACCTGGGGAGATACAAGCTCCAGTCTTCTGCCTTCCTTTCTCTCCACCTCAGCTTCTTCTCCCATTTAACTGTCTTCATTTCTCTTGAGGGGGTTGAGGAAGAGAAAGACACTGGTTAAACTTTTGGAAAGGCCTAATTCTTTAGGAGTTAGGAATGGTCCCTGTTAGTGGACAGAAAAGTCACCATAAACAGTCACTCCACCGTTATTGGGTAAGCATTGGTGAGCTTGGACACAATGAATTTGGTTTTTACTTGATGTCATTTTGAATAGTTTCCACTGAAACATGAACTTCATTGTTTTAGAAGAGGCCTTTGAAATCCTAGACAACAGTCATTTTCACAGATAAAAATGTTTGTGTTAATTTAAACAAAGAGAAAAGGCATTTCCTTTGTTAGAAATAAAGATGCATAATGACACCAAATTTTAAAAAAACTTATAAACAATATCACAGAGTAAATATTTGTTTGTATCAGGGTTCTGATTAGACATTGATGAATGAAATACGTGTGTGACTAGGCTTTGCAAGGCCTATTTTGAATCAGTAAAAGGTGAGCATAGTATTAGTCTGAACTGAGTTCACGTCAGTAAACTAAACCCTGCCCATTGAGGTTTAATGGGTGAAGGTAAATTTGTATTTGGTACTTAACAACATTTCCAGACTCGCTTCTGTTTTCATAGCTCACATGTACAGTATTTACAGTATTTGTGAATTTAAAACCTAAGTGGAAATGTGAGAGAATTTGGAAATGATGGGAAACTGGGGCAGGCTGTCTGTTTTTATGACTCTGAAACCATAAAGCATTAGCCACTTTCAGCCTTCTAGAACACTGTCTCCCTTCTGCCTTTGGACCTTCCTTCTAGACCTTGTTTATCAGCTGCTGCTCTTGTACTAGCCACGAGGGAGCCTTTTATGGACAGGGGTCTGCCAAGAGACCTTGCTTTTGTTCCATCTGGCACCTGTTTTAAATTTCTTCCTCCCCAGGAGGCTTTTTCCTATTAAGCAAAAGTAAGATGTAGAACTCCGCACCACAAACAACACTGGACACATCAGCACAAGAAAGAAGCACAACTGAAAAGATGGGTGACAACTGATACTCCTTGTGGGTTTGGTATCCATTAGCCTGTAAGCTCTGTGAGGGCAGGGACTGTGGACTTCCTGTGTGCTGCTCTGGCGCCCCCTGGAGGAGCATTCAGTCTGCATTATTGTGTGATGTTTCTTATTTTGAAGTGTGCACTTCAGTTGTGTGCAGAAGAACCGAAATGGCTGGCTGATGTTTGATGCTGTCCTTTTTGTTTCTGTCTCAATGGCGTGCTTCCAGCACTAGTCACAGAAGGGACAGAAGGAAGAGGCTGTTGGGATGTGGATCCTGGGCTCCAGGGTGTGGTAACCGACTTGGCGGTCTCTGATGCAGGGGAGAAGGTATTGTTAATTGTTAACCGATTTGTTAGTAACCAGCACCCCTTGCTTTGTATGATAAAATAACTTAAGCTGTCAGGCAGTGAGTGGATTGAAAGTGCTTTACTGAATTGTTCTTGATTCATTCAAATATTCATATTGAAGCTTTCTAACTTATATTTCTTCTTTAAATATTCTTGTTCCTCTATATCGTGTAGGTGTAAAAACCAAATGAAAAGTTATTAAAACAAAACAAAAAAGCTTGAAAACCCTCATGTGTATGTGTGTCTGCACGCTCTGACTTCTGGGCTTACTTTCCACACTGCCAACCTCTGCTTTTCCCCACTACTTTTGGCAACTCTGGCTGAGAGGTGGCCCTGGGCACTGGGACACTACACAACCAGATGGTGCTAATGGAGCTGAACAGTTTCCGCTTTGGGATAGTCTTGCTTCTGTCCTCTACCCTGACCTGCTCCTGTGTTCCTACTGCCTACATTTTGCCAGTGGCAAGGTATTCCCAAACACTGCTGCTTCTCTGATTTTCTGTATACGTAGGTTATAACTTTCTGTCTGTAAAAATTACATGCATACAGCTTCCTATTAACTTCAAATGTGAGGTGTCACAAACATGGGGAAGAATAAAACTGTGATTCTGGGAGGTGGTGAATTCGATTTTTTCAGGATTGTCAGAAGTTCGAGAGTTTTTGCTTTATCTGACATTGAATTAAATCCATTACCAAGTACCAACATGTGCCAGTGTTGAAACGTGGTATATGTGTGTTTACAGGCGTAGCATATTACTATGTTATACATTTCCCAGGTCCATTACATATGACAGAACCAAGTCTGGCATTCATGTTTTCCCAGAAAAGTCAGCTGTAATTCAGTGTTTGTTTTTAAAAGTTCATAGGCCCAAATGAATTAATGAATGCAGTACTCTACTTATTTTGATTCATTTTAGCTCCTGCTTTTCATTCTTTCCATGAAATGTTCACTTTGAAGTCTCAGTGGTAATTTAATTCCACATGGAATGTGGGGTTGGATCCCCACCCATGACAGCACAGATGGATAAGTGAGACAAAATGTCCAGGCTCCCCTTTGGGTTAACCTATCTGAAGAGTTTAGCCCTTAATAAGGCGTTTAAGAAACTAAATAAACTGAGATATAGGAAAGGATTACTTGAAAAAGCTTTAAACAAGTGTATAATGGATTTTTTTCATTAGCTTCTTAATAAGACAACATTAAAACAAATTTCTGATAGAATTAAAAACTAACTCAACGGTAGTCTTCCTGTAAATGATCAGCTGCAGTTATGGAGGAGGACCACTAGGTGGCAGAACAGCTCCATTAAAAAGATGAAGTGAGTTTCTTTTCTCCTTTACAATACAGTGGTTTGTGGGTGTAATTGACCAAATGTAGCACAATCCAACTCATTTCTACACATCTGATTTTTATAGGGCACAAGAATTCTATACCGTGTGTTACTTTTACTACAAAAGCAATAATGGGCTCACGAGAAAAGCAAGAACTTACTATAGAACTGAAATCCTTTGTCCTGGTATCTTCCATACAATTAGGTCCAGTTCTAAAGCAGTGAAACTTCATCTCCTTTTTCAGCCTTTGTCCTTTCTCTGTTCAAGGGGCTGCTTAGTAATGAAATCTTTAATTGGCAGTACGAAGGGAAAGGCAATTTGGCTAGCTCATCGCCAGCTTGAGCTAAGTGCCTCATTTAGCAACAAGTTGAAAGCTACCTGAGAACATTAACATGGCTGACTTGTTCTTAGGACTTAAAATGACATCTGCTTAGACCAATACAAACAGCACACAGGAGACTGTGGGCCCTCAGAAAGCAGGGAGACTGATCTCCCATTTCATGAAATGTGGAGTTTATAATGTAGATTTCTATTTACTTATTGAATAGTGGGCAGTCAAATTCTATTATAGTCATTTATTTGTTGAGAGTCCCTTATATGCTTCACATCATTATCAGGTTTGCACACAGAATATTGAATACATAGAGTCTTACTATTCACTGACTCTTCATTACTACTCATACTGAGCGAAGATGGACAACAAATAAACAAATGCTTAGTGTAATTTCTGGGGGTGTGCACGTGTTTCCTTAATGTGTGATTATATGAAAGAGACAAAGACTGAAGCACAGACTCCCCATCCCCAGAGGAAAGATGGCCTTCTGTGGTCTTATTCATGGGCTTTGAACTGGGCTGGTGGTTAATTGAGGTAGGGTCTGGAGGAAACCAGCTAAGTGTTTCCTTTGGGCCATTTCTGTGTAACCATGGCTATTTGGGCCTCAAACATTGAGATCGTGAAGGTGAGGCCTGGTATGAAGTTCTGTGGCCTCCAGGAGACAAAGGTTATCAGCCTATACCTGGAGACAAGTTAAGTGTTTGCTAAGCTTCCTCAGTATTATCTAGGTTTTTTGAAAGAATTGTTGGGTAGAAGTTGCCAGGTATCTCTAAAGAGACCCTCAATGTTAAGCTGGTTTTTGATTTTCTAGACCTTTTCTCCTGGGAGGAGATGGTCGCTACAGATGAGGTGTTTGAACTACAGAGGGAAGAGCATGCATTTTGGGCTACTACAATGTAGCTTTTCCAGAGTAGAGTGGCTGTTCATTTTCTCATGTTTTTATGTATTATAGGTGGAATATAGAAGTTTTCCAGGTTCTTCACAGTCAGAGGTGAGCTATGTATACTTTAAACATACCACCACTCTTCCTTAATTTGCGTCTAATGAAAGCTTTTCAAGAATTTGACACATATAATCTTATTTTTCAGATTGTACAAGCTATACAGAATTTAACCCGTCTCCTCTATAGCCTTCAGGTAACAACTCCCCTGTCATCTTGACCTTGTGAATGTTTCTCTTAATGTACTTTGATGATTCCCAGACTTTAGAAATTAGAACATTTGAAAAGTAGTAAGTGATCTTACAATGCCAAGCCCCCAGGTGTAACTCTGCCAGACGACTGAACTTTACCTGGTTTTATAATCATGAGGCAGCACAGCACCACTGCTACATTTTATACCATTCTGCTCAGAAACCATAAAACAGTTCATATCTTTAGAAAGTTGTGATGCATATGTTCTGGCCCAACACAATGAAGCTCTTAGGCGAGTGTAGCATGACTTCATATTTTCTGGTGAAAACTTAAATTCACACCTAAACTTACTCCATTTCACATGTGTTGAAGAGCGGTTAAATAATTTGCATGCCCCTTTGAGCTTTGGTTTGTGGATTGAGTGCTCTCTCAGGGCTGGGCCCTGGGCTAGAGGATAAGCTCACAAAGGCAAATGAATCACCATGCTTACCCACAAATAGCTCCTTGTCTTTTAAGGAAAACAGAGCATCAAAGTCATGTTTGTATTGTGGATTAGAGGGTTCTATACTCCATCACCCACCTCATGCACACAAAAGAGTTGATTAGTGCACCCAGGGGCTTAAATTGATGATTAGAAAGCTTTAATGCTGTAAAACCAGTGTTTATATTATAGAAGATTCTGAGAATAAAAATCAAGTAAAATGGCTTCCAGTTCTAAAGAGAGAATTACTATTGCTATACTCTTTTAAAAAACTAATAAAAAATTACTGTTACCATGTTGATGTATATTCCTGCAGATTTTACATTATTTCTATTACTCACTGGAAGCATACACATTTCTGTGGCATCAACTATTCTATAGCATGATTTTTAATGAGTGTATAATATTTGAGTCTATGGAATTTATTCAGTCCTTTATTATTACACTTTTTTGTTATTAATAGCACAGAATGTGAACATTCTTATATTCTAGTATCTTTGAAAATATATGAATGCTTCCTTAGGATAACTTACTATAATTACTTTTTTAGGTTTTTAACAAACAGTGTCAAAATCAATCCTCTCTCTCCCCATTTCTCTTTCTCCCTCCTCCTCAGTTAAAAATGGAGTAAGATATGAGATTATTTTGATTTGTACCTCTTTACTTATTGGTGAGACCAAAGTTTTCCCTAAATTTTCCTTAGTCATACTTCCTATTTTGTTTCTTATAAATGTTAAAAGAAAGTTAGGTGTAAATTTTGAGCAGAAAACATAAATCCATGACTGCGTCGGATGTTTTTCTTATTTATATTTTGGCTGCATCAAGACTCCTTTTTCTACAGCTCCATTTTGTTTCAGTGCCATTATATCAATTATTAACTCTGAATACATCTGAATATATAGCAACACGAATTTCCTCTTCTTATAATTTATGTACTTTACAAAATCTTTTAGAATGCTCTGTGCGGTTTCCTATCTCCTCCCAAGACTATTAAATTAAAACTTTATTTATGAAAATGGAAGGGAATTTGTGCTTTTGCCATAATCAGTCCTCCTGTCTGAGAACAGGTCAGTCACCTCTTATTTTAGAGTGTACTTTATAATTATGGCATATGGAGATAATCACATAAAAATTAATTAACTATATATATATACATAAAAACAAATGTATATGTTTCCCCAGTGGTTGTTGCTGAAAGGGTATTGATTTTAAGTACTTACTTTATAACTGGCCAACTCATCAAATTTTCATTTTTATTTTAATAATTTTCCATTGATTCTTTGGCGTATTTTCAGGTAGAAACTAGAAATTTGAAAAAAAATACTACAATGACTTTTCTTCGATAATTATATAAATTGCATTTCTTGGCTTATTGCTTTGGCTACATATGAGGGTGTCTAACCTTTTGACATGGTGACACAACATTGTCATCTACAAATGTGTTGGGCTGCATTCATAGCCATCCTGGGACACCTGTGGTCCACACGCCACAGACTGGACATGCCTGCATCTGAAAAACAGTGGTAATAGTAAGCTCCTTGTCTTATTCCTGGCTTTGTGGGATGCTTGTAGCGTCTTATCGAAGATATGCTTGTCTGGGATAGATGATCTGAGAGATCAATTTATCATGTAAAACAAATCTCCAAGAAGGTATGTAGCTTGAGGTTAGTCCAGCAATTCTCAAGGATGAAAATATTGAGCATACTGACTTGTGTTGCCTGATGGAACTATGTGGAGTCATCTCTTTTTTGTCCACTGCCCTATGTACAGCCCTATGTAGATCTATGGTTCAGAAAATCTCAGTAGCCTATTGACTTAAGTTTTGCAATTTATTAAGTTGAAGTCACATAGGAAATATCAAAGTCTCTGGTGGATTCTCTTTACCTGACCAAAGCTTTTGAGCCAGTCTAACAATCCATTCTCTGAAATATTTCTATTTCATTGCATGTTCATCTCTTTAGAAGCTGAATATCTTCTGCATTGCTGAAGTTTTTCTATAAGCATGTGTGAAACATGAAAATGAAATTTGGTCCCTGTCTTAGGAGAGTGGAGTTGGAGAAGAAAAAAGGAAATAGAAAGGAAAGGAAATAGATCGTTCTACCACAGTAAGAAGCAAGAGTGAATTAGGAATTCTTTAAAAAGTGCTGTTTTCTGTCTAAGCATAAATGTGAACTTTAAATATGGAAATGAATATCCAATCTTCAAGTGCACATTGTGATAGCAAAGAGTCTTATTCTAAATGTCAGGGAGGCATGATGAGTTCTTCATCATCACACTGAATTATCCTCATTGTAATCCTCACCTGAGAGGTAGTGCCTATGTTAGTTTTGACATGCAAAATACTGGATTTTTTTCATCATAGGGTAAATATCCTTAGAATTTGTTGGAAATGAGTGGTGGTGTAGGGTCTATAGTTTGTTCTGTCAGGCAGCAGAGTCCAACTGGTGTATTAGTATATGCTAATTAGCTCATATTTAAAAGAGCACAGCAATTAGTACCTATTCTCCATTATAGTCATTGTTCTCTTTATAACAACTCTCATTAATCAGAAGTCACTAATCAAAAGTCAACCTGAATTTTTACAATTAATTTTCAAATAAAAATTAATTTTATTTCAAAAAGCCCCAGTGAATACATTTTTGAGTCTTATTCAAAAGCAGGTATGAATTTAAAATACTGTAGTTCTTTAACTTTGAAAAGTTTAGGAAACTGCTGATATAACAAAGAACTAATGATCAATCTCCATCTTCCCAGGGCAGTTTAAACAGTTCTTAGGAGGGAAAAAGAGCAGTGATTTCTCATACTGAGTCAAACTGTGCACACATACCCAGTGTGCATCCTTTTCAATTTGTCCCCTTCAGCCGTTTTTTTTTTTTTTTTTGGTTTAGTGGCATCTTTCCAAGTTCTGGCAATTATTTCCTGTGATGTTGCCAAACTTTTCAGAATTTTAAAAAATCTTTTTGGTAATATCCTCTAGGATTTAGTGTATCTACTTTTCCTTAATTATTGCCAATTCCTTTTAGCAATCTATTAAACAAATGAATTTTATCTCAGTTTTTTTTATTTGACCTTCTTGCTATAGTGCAAAAACCTAACAGTAAGGAGCTTTATTCACCTATGTAGCCCCTAAAATGCTATTAACTGCTATTCTCAGGCATTATGTTATAAAAAAAACTATTTACTAAAAGTGTCCAAATAGTTGACTTTTAGTTTTATGTCTTCATGAAAGTAGTATATAAAGCTCAAGTAATTTCTGGTTTGGGACTCAAATAAAGGATACTACTGTGTTTATAGAGATTCGTAAATTCCCATGCACTATTGACTGGGGAGACCTCAGAAAGAGAATGAGACATAGAACAGGAATTTGGAGGCTTGTGAATTTATGTACTAAGTTTTTACCCGAAGGACTTACCTAAATATAACCCCCCCCCCGTAAAAAACAAAAACAAACAAAAAAACAGCCAATCACATTTCCAAAGAAGGGATGGTGAGCAGTCAGCCCTCTGTAGCCATGTGTTTTGCATCCTCTGATTTAACCAATCTTGGATAGAAAAGACAGAAAAAGCAATTCCAGAAAGTTCCCAAAAGCAAAACTTGCATTTGCTTTTTGCTGAATACTGCACTGAATCCTTGTGAATGAAATGATATATAGGCATTGTATTTGGGTTTATAAATAAACTAGAGGCAATTTGAAGTGTACAGGAAGATACATGTAGGCTGCATGTAAATAGTAAGACTTTTTATTTTTAATATTTTATTTATTAATTTTATTCTGTGTATGAGTGTATTGCCTACATGTGTGTAAGTGCACCCATGTTATGCAATGCCTGCAGAGGTCAGAGAAGATTCGGGTCCCCTGGAACTAGAGTTACAGAGGGTTGTTGGCCACCATGTGGGTGCTGGGAATCAAACCTTGGTCCTCTGTAAGAGCAGCTAGTGCTCTTAATGGCTGAGCCATCTCTCCAGCCCCATGGTAAGACATTTTAAAAGAGGACTTGAGCATCCACATGTATTAGTTACTTTTTTGTTGCTATGATAAAAATATCCTGGCGAAAAACAGCTTCAGGAAGAAAGGGTTTATTTTGGCTTGCAGTTTCAGAGGGCTAGAGTTAATAATGGTGGGAAGGCATTGCAGCAGGGAGCAGAGAGATCACCTCATCGACACACCGGAAGCAGAGAGGGAGAACAGGAAATGGGGTAAGGCTATAAATCCAAATAAAATTAAATTTCTTCCACCAAGGCTCCACCTCCTACAGGTTCCTTAACCTCCCCAAATAGCACCACCAAGAGGGAACCAAGTGTTCAAATATATGAGTCTACAAGGGACTTCTTATTCAAACCACCACATATACATTTTTGGTATCCACCAGAATTCTGAAACCAGTCCCTCTTAGGGACCAAGGGCCAATTGTATTGATTGTATATTGTTATTTCTTGTTTATATAAATTCTCAGGACATAACACTAGGAAATGTAGACAAGCCTATTTGTCTTTGGATATAATTTGGAAAGGGGCAGGGTATTAAGAAATAATTCAGATGATTATTTGATGTTTCAAAATACTTTGGAGATAAAGAATCTGCAAAGTTGTATTGGTTTTCCATCTCACTGGCAAAATACCTGAAATAATGATCTAAAGGAGGAAAAGTTTATGTTGGCTCCTGGTTTCAGGAGTTCAGTCTGTGGCCACTTGGCCCCACTGCTCTATGTGAAGCAGAACTCCAGAGGGGGCAACACCAGATAGAACAGAGATGCTCACCTCATGTCAGCAGGAAATCAAAGAAGAAAAAGTCCAGGCCCCAATATCCCCTTCTAGGGCATGTCAGCCCTCTCATTGTCATCCCCTAGACCCAGATTCCTAATAGTTCTTTACCTCTGGGTTGGAAGTATCATGTCCCAGGAGCTTCTCAGCTGGCCACCAAGCATTCAACCTATGGCCTTTGGGGCCCTGATCCAAGCCTGTTCTTACTCATTTGTTTTCTTCTGCTCTCCAGGCTGCTTTGACCATACAGGACAGCCACATTGAGATCCACAAACTGGTTCTACAGCAGCAGGATAACTTGGCCCCTAGTCAGTCCTTCCGAAGTGGCCTCTTGCAGGACCAGGAGAAATCGCGCCACTTGGAGAAGCAGCGTGAGGAGCTGGCCAACATCCACAAGCTTCAGCACCAGTTCCAGCAGGAGCAGCGGCGCTGGCACCGCACATGTGACCAGCAGCAGCGCGAGCAAGAAGCCCAGGAGAGCCGGCTGCAGGCACGGGAGCGTGAGTGCCAGTCACAGGAAGAGATGCTGTTGCGGAACCGCAGTGAGCTGGACCACCAACTCCAGGAGTACCAGCAGAACTTGGAGCGGCTACGGGAGGGCCAGCGGCTGGTGGAGAGGGAGAGAGAGAGGATGCGTGTCCAGCAGGGCTTGCTGGGCCACTGGAAGCACAGTCGCCAGAGGAGCCTCCCTGCTGTCTTCTCTCCTGGGAGCAAGGAGGTATGGCTTAGCTGGGAAAACCCCAGGTTCATCCAACAATAGTTTCTGTTCTTGTGTAAGAGCTCACAAGTGTGTCTCAGGTTGGCACATGGTAAAAAACTAAGAATGTTCAGAACCGATGCATAGGCATCTTGACCTAAAATATGAAAATTTTAAAGTCTTAGGCCCTTATTGGGTCATTGTACTCTGAGACACTGTTGCCTAAGAAAGAAATACAGAATGGAGGTGTCCTAGCAAGGCAAGGTGGAGTTTGACTTGCAGGCACATCCATTCTGCGCATGCTGGGTTCTCTGTGGTTGAAGGACCTCTTTTAAATGATCTATTCTTGTGATAGAATAAGTGATACGTCTATAATGCAATCTTCTACATGTACCTAAGGCTCAGGGAACAATGTGAAAGAGGGGACAAAAAGAACGCAAGACACCTGGTGCTAGTCAGTGCATTCTAGATACAGTAGTAGGGAAGCTACACCAATGAAATCGCCATAGCATGGTAGTTTAATGATACCTGCGCAATGACAAAACCAGTTGACATGCCAAGGTGGGTGGGTGGGTGAAAGTTCCCAGGGTCCTAACTCAAGATGAAGAGCTATCAGTGAATGCTGAGAGAGGGAAATCAGTTTTCTCCAGGGACTAATTCCCTGAGAGGTTATCTAATCACAGATGAGGTTATCTAAACACAGGCATATATAAGTACCAGTAAATGGACTTAATGCATTATATGTATATAATTATTTATTTATAAATGTATTTAAGTATATGTAACAATAAAGAAGAGATCAAGAAATTGAGAGGGAGTAGGAGAGGACATGGGAAGAGTTGGAGGGGGACTGGTAGGTATGGAAATAATGAAAATACAATATCATGTATGAAAGTCCCCAAAATAAAAAGGATTTAAAAAAATTTAAAGAAACAAACGAACAAAAAAAGAATATTCAGGACTGGAGAGTTGGCTTAGTGGTTAAGAGCACTGGCTGCTGTTGCAGAGGACCTGGGTTCAGGTCCTACCACCCATGTGATGGCTAACAACCATCCATCACTCCAGTTCCAGGGGATCCAACCCCTCTTCTGACCTCTGTGGGCATTGTATGACGTGGGTGCACTACATACATGCAGGCAATACACTCATACACATAAAAATAATAAATAAAATATTAAAAAAGACTAATTGATCATATTCAATGATACATATATAGATCAATTGGCTGTTCATATATAAGTACTGAACTGAGCAAACACAGCACTATTCTAATATGTGGCAAGCTTGTTCTGTCTTGTGAATTGGATATAGTACATTCAAAGTCTTTTTCACTAAGGACAGTTACCATGAGTTACACTGGTTAAGGACTGAGTAGGGTAAAATCTCTGAGAAGACTTTTGTTTCCTCTCCATCCTCTCTAACTATGCTTGGTGATTCCATTTGTTGTGGGAGTTTTTCTGCACTCTGTTTTGCATGTGTGTTTTTTATTGATAGTGGATAAAGTTGTAAAAGTTAATAGGCTTATAAGAAAGAACTATGTTGCATCTGATTTTTCTTTTAAGTTTGCTAAATTACATTTACTGCAAATTCCTCGCACATAGATGGATATGTTTTCAACTTTTTTATTTAGCAAAAAATGGGACATGCTGCTTGCTTTGATTAAATCAAGTGGAAACTCTTTGGTGATATAGAACACTGCTACTTTTTTTAAAAAAACAATATATGGTGCATAGCTAATTGAAGGTTCTGGTTCTAGCTCATTTAAAGGGGTTGAGAGGAAAGAGTTCATGGTAGAATTCTTCCTAACCTCATTGTTGTTAAAGTCTTGATTGCTAGAGCAAGGGTTTTCAGACCTGAGGGTTAAATACTTTCTGAAACTCATTTAAGTTGCTAAAGAAATTATTATATTTTCCTGTATTTCTTTCCACAGGTAATAGAACTTAACCGATCTGAAAGTTTGTGTCATGATAATTCATTCTTCATCAGTGAAGCTTTAGCTCACATGTCACTTAACACTTTCAATAAACCAAATCCACCAGATAACCCTTCGGATGCCGCTTACCCCCTACATGTATCTAATTCTGACTTGATAAGAACTAGTGACAGTCAAACAGACCTGAAGATAAACATTTCTCAGCCTTCAGATGTCAACCATGAACTCTGGACAGCTATAGGACCCAGTCATCAGATACCTACTCTCCAAGAAAGCAGCAAGGATTCTTGTAAAAATGGTAATTAACTCTTTACACATTCTCTGTGTGGTCTCAGCAAGACACTGGTCCTCTGGGAGGTTGACTCTTCAGTAGAGCGAATCAAAGTAAGCCCTAGCATGGGAATACTGTGGCGAGGAGTTGGAGTTTTCTTTGGAGAAAGGGGGCTCCCTTCACTCCAGAGTATCTAAACAGGGGAAGCCATGTGGTAGGGCTTAGGCATAGACATGTAAGACAGGGTTTTTAGGTAAGTGGGCTAAATGATGCCCCTTAAAAGTGGTGCAACTTGATATTTATTTTCCACCGTGGACCCTGCTGCATCTTGATGTGTGTCTTGGTGGATGCTCAGAAATAAAAGGTATGGACAGGATTTGTGGTAGGACTTTAATGTCTATCAGGGCAATTTCCTGTAATGTTAGTGAAATCTTCTGTACTGCTATTAAACACTCAGAACGAAACTGTTAACATCATTTGTCATTGTAAAAAAGGTGTTGTCTCTCCATAAGTACCTCATAAGAACACAACTTGCTAATCCCATTAAAGCATTTGCCAAATATAAAGGAAGGGCAGCTCAGGTTTCCAACTCTATGTGAATCCAAATGATTGAAATCTATGTCTATTATAAATTGTTTTCTGTGGGATAGGAGGTAGGGAATGAGAAGAACTTGAACCTCCCTACAGAAAAACAGATGGTATGCAATAGCATAAACAAATGGCCAGCCACATGGACATGAAATAAATCACCCACAGTGAAAGGTTTCCGAAACTTAAAGCAAGCAGGAGTGCAGAGCTCTTTAGAACTGGACACAGATTTGTTTCCAGGCTTAATATATATTCTTAGTTTGTCAGTTGGGAGGATAATTTTTCAGTAACAAAAAACTTTAAAGGCAGTTCACTTCTTCCAATTAGGGAGTAATAATTGTGACACAGCCTACAAGTTAATTTATGACTGATCCAAAAGATGTTGATTCTTAGTCTTTGCTAATTCTTTATACCACTTCGTCATTACTGTAGCATTCTTAATGCTTGTCAGCATGTATGAGAAGGAAATAATTCTTAAAAGCATCCCTTCAAATTAAAAAAAAACACAATGAAATACTTTGGATTAAAAAGTAAAGGGTCAGACAAAATTGGGAAAATGGAAACGCATTCATGTATTACCTGGCAGTTCAATCCTATGGAGACCACTCTGAGGAATGCTTTTGCTGGACACGTGCTGCTTTGCTGTGTTGATTCATTAACTTGCTATGCACAGTGTGTTATGTGTTTTTGTCAGTGTGGTTTTGCATACTGGCTTTGGTACAATTCAAAAACTCCATTTGAGTTAAACCACATTCAGCTTTTGTTTAAAAGAAGTGTTTCTCTTTGACTTGTGTATCTGCCGTCTTCTTTTGCTGTGTGCTTCAAAGTCAAACGTTTTAAACATTTGGCAGCAGACTTACAGTAGACAGAAAACACACTAAGGAAATAAACAGTGATTATACACAAAGCCATTCTATCCACATGTAAAGTGTTAGATAGAGCCAAGAGAAATGCGGAGAAAATTGCCTTTTTCTTTTTTTTCTTAAAACTGTTTTTATTTTATGTGTATAGTGTATTGCCTTCTTGTATGCAAGTGCACCCATGTCAAGCAATGCCTGTGGAGGTCAGAAGAGGGTGTCAGATCCCCTGGAACTGGAGTTATGGACAGTTATTAGCTGCCACGTGAGTTCTGGGAATTGAACCCCGGTCCTCTGCAAGAGTAGCCAGTGCTCTTAACTGCCGAGCCATCTCTCCAGCCCCAAATTGCCTTTTTCTGAAGAAATCCTAAGTCCAGTGTTGGCCAGGGATACTCAGCACGTTGGCAGGAGGCAGGAAAGTCAACTTTACCCTGAATCTCTCAGGAACATCCTAGGGCATGTAAGTAGGGGTGAGATCAGATATGGTTCACTGCTGGTTTGCAAGGAGTCAAAAAGCCCTATCTATGTTTGTTTACTTAAGCATGATAAGCAATTTCTGGAAGAGCAAAAGATAGGGACCCAGAATGAAAACAGTTCATTTTCTGAGGAGGGTGGTCAGGGCCAGATAATATTGTTCAAACTACTCCAAGCTTTCACAGTTCTTATGATTGAAAATAGCATTAAATTTGCTACTGGTGGGGGAGGGGTCTAACTAGGCCCTGAGTGCACTTCACTTCACACATGCTCTTGGCGACAGAGGTGGAGGAAGACTGGGAGGGCAGAAATAGGTCCAAGGTTTGCTGGGTGGTGTGGAAGGCAGGCAGTGTGTTGGGGAGAGGGTCAATGCAAGGCTCTGCTCCTGAATCTTTGAGTGGTCATCAGTGACCATTAGGAAGGATTCCTTATAGAGTACAGTATTCTAGCTGTGTTTGCCTATGTTGTTCTAGGCTGGTATTTTTGTTAGATGTATATTTAACTGTGTTTAATTAAAGCTCTGTGATTTCATTGTTGGGACCTAAGGTTAGCTGTTTCAGGAAAGACTTAAAGAATGGTTTACTCTCTTGTCTGGTCTAATACTATGTGTTGGGTCCAGCTCGGAGAAATGAAAATTCTGAAACAGGAAAGCTGATGCAAAAAAAAAAAAAAAAGTGTGCAAATAAAATTTATGATGTGCTTTGAAGTCACCTAGATTGTAATTTTCATTTTAAAAAACCCAACCTCACCAGACACTTCCGGTGCCCTTTGTGTCCTGACTTTGATTTGGTTTTGACTTGTTCTGCCCCTGCCACTGCCAGCAGTAACTATGACACATCAGCTTGTAGTCCCTGTGCTGAGGTTTTTATGGAGAAATCCATTTCTCATGACAAGGGATTGACATGGCTCTGTGCTTATCTCTGTAGAGGGGAAACTGGGATACAGAAAGGTGAAGCAACTTGTCCAAGGTCACACAGCTAACAAGTGGAACAACCAGGCATCAAACCCGAAAAGATTGCCCCTGGGGCTCATGCTTTCAAACATCAAACAGGACTGATGTCTAAGAGCTGTGCTTAGCTGTATATTTGACAGAAGTTGGAGGAGATATAGAATAAGTCCTTATGTAATGCCTGGCAGGATACTCACAATTAAGGGCCAGGTTTTGGTTTTAGTTTTCTTCTCCTTGCTTCCCTTTTAACATTACCATTTGGAAACTATTCTAAAGGTTTTAGATTGCTGTGGCCAATGCTTACTTAGGACCTGAACATCTTCAGATATCATAAAAACCCTTTAGCTTCAGGTTGTTCCCACGAGGCATATTTTCTCAAGGATCTTTTATTTTTCTAATGCCTACTACTAACCTGTTTGATTTATAAATATTTAAGGTAGAATTTTAAAGAAGTCTACTTTTTAATTTTGGAAGTTGTTTCATGAACAAAATTCTTAGGTGTTTGGATATTAAATCCAAATTGGCATTCTCCCTCTCTCTCCCTCTATCCATTTTCTCTCTTCTGGGGGCTACCAGCCAAGACCACAAAATTTAAATTTCTTTAACAATAAAGCCTATGTAATTGGATCTATGAAATGCTCAACTGTATTACTCTTAAAGACAAAGGAAAAAAAACTTATTCCTATAAATTATTTTTTCCTCCTAGCTTTTAAAATGCTACAACTATCTATTGAATGCATCTAGTAGTTTATATTATTTGCCTTCTTCATTAATCAGTGAAGGAACCATTTTATGATATGTAAGTCTGATATCTTTTCCCCTTTAGTTATATCTTTCCTATATCTCAGTACTCTGTTTACAGATTACTTAAAATGTTCTCTTTGATGCAGTTAAAGAATTATGATTTTGTTATGCATATGATAAAAACTAGCTTGAGTCAATTTAAAAGTTTTTATTATGATGTTGATGATAATGATGTGTGTGTGATGTGTGTGAGTGAAGGTTCACACATGTGTGGAGGTCAGAGGATAACTTTTGGGAGTAAGTACTGCAGGCTAGCTAGTCCACAAGCTTCTGAACCATTCTACTGTCTCTGTTTCCCATCTCACTTTAGGAATGCTAGGATTACAGTTGTATACCTCCTCCCAGCCATTTTTTTAAATGTGAGTTACAGGGATAGAACTCAGGCCATCAAGCTTTCATAGCAAGTGCTTTTATCCACTTAACATCTCACTGGCCCATATTTTTTATGGCAATCTCATGGATGTTGACAAAAGAGTAACATTTACTTATTTATTATTTATTTATTCATACATGCAGAGATACAACATATATACATACATGGTTTCTAGCCCAGGCTGGCATCAAACTCCCTGTATAGCCAAGCATGATCTTGGACTTCTGATCTTGCTGCCTCTGCCTCCTGAGTGCTAGATTCTAGGCATGTACCACCATATTTGGTTCATGTTGTGCTGGGGATTGAACCCAGAGGTTTCTACATGCTAGACAAGCACTGTATTAACTGAGATACATCCTCAACTCAACGGTAGCATTATTAAGATTTGGTTTCAAAGGAGTTTTTCAATCGTTACATATTAGAATTTGTACCCAGCAAAATATTTTCAAAATTCAAAGTATTGTATTCAGAGTATCTCATTTGGGTATTTTTTTTTCATTTTAACAGATATAGACAACTCTGTTAAACTTTTTAATGACAAACTTTCTTTATATATCAATTTTTTAATTTAATTTTATTTATTTTATTTTTTAGAAGAAGCATTTCATTACAGCTTTAACATACTCAATAACATTTTCCAGAGCAAAGATATGTCTCTTTCAAAAGTGACTAAAAAATTTTTAGGTTCACAGTTGAATTAATACAGTTATACAATATTGAACTCAGTATATTTTAAAATTAAAAGCTATGCCATGGCTCTAAGTAAAAGTCTGTAGGAAGTGAGAATCTGGTGATTTCCGGCATTTAAAAAATATTCTATAATACCAAAATTGGTACCTTATTTGTATGATCTGTGTGGAAAGAAGCTTTGCCAAAGACCTTGAAGCAATTTCCCATAAAACTGAAGTTGGCCTTACACACCATAAACTTTAGTGACAAAGGTGGAGTTGAAGAGGGTTGTATATATTTTCAAGGGCTGCCA